GCACTGGGAGAGCAAAACAGAAAGCATTTCGGAGAGAGCACGAGGGCGAGCTTGGTCGCTGCAGGAATGATGCATATCTCAGATCTCACATCTGACTCCAGTGCTGCAAGATGTTACAGCAGAGCTCGAAGGCCTTAATCGGAATGATGACCCCATTACCCCGGGTGTCGCACAGATGCAAGGAGATATGATCCCCATAAGTAGAATAAGAGTTTGCTATTGACTGACCTCATCTATTTGCTCTCTCCCAGGGTCAGTTTGGAGTCCAAGAAGAGGAACTGTTAAAATGCCTTATTTGTACGATGTCAGTGACCCGAGGCGAGCAGATTCAGCGTTTTCACACTCAGCAGCAGGCAGAAGGTAAGAAACATAACGAATTGCAGATGTGCTGGCTGGAAGGACTGACCCATATTTGATGGGAGGGTATCCCCCCACATGTGCAACTTGTTGGGAACAAAGATGGCTGTCTGTGCCCCTTCATTCCTCTTGCAGAGTCACGTGTATCAGTGTTTATCTGTTTAGTCTCTTACTGACATGTAGGACCATGAATGCTGCTTTTGTTTGATCTCTGGGAGACTGCAGAGATTAAATGAGAAACCAAGGAATTAGCTTTGCTTTCTCCCTCAGTCCAACCTAGAAGGAAGCTGTAGGTATTTGCACAAAAGAGGAGAAGGCTCATGTTGCAGAGTGCTGGCAGTGTCCAGAGCTCTAGGTAGCAGATGGAGAAATAACTAAGAGAATCAGTGAGATAGCACAGTATCAGGGAAGGAGTGAGATGAAAAGGGAGAATAGAAAATAATCCAAGCTAATCTGCACATAAAGGTTCGGTTAAAATACAAGATTTGAAAAAAATAATTAACAAATTATGAAATCCCGGGGTTTCTAGACTATTGGTTAAAATAAATGAAAGAAAAAACTGAAAATGGGGAATTAGCTAGTTCTGTTTCCCAAATGTCTTCTCTTGCATCTCTCTAGAGAATAAAATACACATCTCCCATCATGCAGTAGGTCATGTTGATTTGGTCTCTTCTTAGATGTCAGCAAGTTTTCCATCAGTTGCATACTCCTCTTGCCCACAGCATTTAAACACTTTGCAGCTGTGGGCTAGGAGGAACAGAGCCGTTCAGTTTTCCAGGTACAACTTGGAGCCTCTTCCTTTGTTTAGCAGGGAGAAGATCCATAGTCAGTAGACTTGCAGAGAGAAAAGCAAGTCTCTGGATATTCTAAAAAGTGGCTGGACTCTTTTGGAAATTGAATTTTCAATTTTAGATGGTCTCACAAGTGCTCTAGTATGCCATATCTGATCTTGTAGAAAGATTGTGAAGATTTCGAAATAAAAGAGCTCTGTGTGAGTGCACAGAAGGCACGGACAATCAGATAGAAATCTAATGTTTATCTGATCTTTAAAATAACTTCATAAACCACTAGGCATTGTTGCTAGAGGTGAATGTATTGAGCCAGCTTGTGTGCCGTGTTCCCTGCTCTCCTTGGAGCCCTTCAGTGAGCTGCTGTTGTTCTCTCTGTGCAGATGCTCGGGACTCCATTGCAAAGGTGGCATATGGCCGAGTATTTGGCTGGATTGTTTGCAAGATCAATGAGCTGCTGGCTGAGAACGTGGATCCGGAGGTGGAGCTGAGGGAGATAGGTGAGTTCTACCTACCTCGCTCCTGTTCTGTCCTCAGATGTGTGTCCCTCAGCCACAATGAAGGAAAGGCACAATATGAGATTTCAAAGAGATTGCGTGCAGGGATCCATTCTCAAAGACTTGATCATGTTGGAGATACTAGTCAGCAGCATGAAGTCTGTAGGGCCTTGGCCAATTCTGGGAAGTCGGTTGGTCTGAAGCAACTGTGAGGCTGTAGTTCTTCGGCACTCTGGCTTTGCAGAGGAGCTGGAGGCGGGAGTGGGGCTTCTCCTAACTCGCTCTCCAAGGGGAGTCATGGGAGAGGTGGCTGCAGGCAACTCGGCTGGGGTTTCCCTGTGCCACAAGAGCTGAGTGATGGAAGATGTAGTTGTTTGTTGGGGTATGCAGCTGATGTGGTTTAGCCCCAGCCAGCAGCTCAGCTACCATATGGCTGCTCACTTACTCCTTCCCCCTCAATGGGATGGGGGGAAGAATCGGAAGAAAAAGGTAAAACTCATGGGCTGGGATAAGGACAATTTACAGGACAGCACAAAGAGAGAAGGAACAAGTAGTAGTAGTAATAATAATAATAATAATAATAATAGAACAATACAAACCAAGTGATGCACAATGCAATTGCTCACCACCCAGAACCCAGTGCCCAGCTCAGGCCTGAGCTTTGATCCTCTCCCAAGCTGCAATCCCCTCCCAGCTGTGTGTATATATACACACACGGATATCATTGCCTTAGTCTATGGGTCGTCCCTCTACCATGTCCGTTCAGTTCGTTTAATCCATGACTTTGGGCCCCCATCTGTCATAAGTCTTCCAGGGTAGGAGAGATGGTGTGTGGTGTTAGATTGTTGCATACTCTATCTGGAGCTCACAGCTGGTCTATCTGGCATGATCCATGCCCGTGGTCTGCGGATTGAAGGTCGATCTCGAAGTAGCTGAATGAGTTGCTGAAGACAGTTCTAGGTCCATCACTGCTGCCCTTTGCTCGGTTTCATCCAAAGTCCATCCTTCATTAGTTTGGATTATTCTTGCTGTAATGCCACTGATACAGCATATAACAACTGTAGTAGTGATGACATACAATGACAGGGGTATGTAGCAATTAACATAATACAATTTAATTCACTGGCTATTCTTGCCCAAGGTGTTGAGGTACACATCAGACTTCCCTTTCCTTCTGCATCGCCCACCAAGTGCATCCAGGTCCTTGAGCAAAAGCAATCCCGTGGATGGATTTGCCTTTGCCTGAGGCAGGACTAACCCAGACTGCCTTTCCTAACATATATTCTTCATGCGTACTATGGAGACCTTATCCCCTTCTACAGTACATGGAAATTTTGATTGGGCAGGGCCAGCTCAATTGGTGGATCCTCTAGTGTTAACTATCCATCCCGATGTTTGAAGGTTCCGTCCTGATACTTGAAGGTTCCACCACCCATTGCTCTCAGTGTAGTTTTTAGAGTTCATTATATCATTCAGTTTTCCTGGAGACTGGTGCATCATAGGGGATGTGATATACCCACTCAATGCTATATTCTTTGGCCCAAGCGTGTATGAGATTGTTGTGAAAATGAGTCCTGTTGTCTGACTGAGTTCTTTCTGGATGCCATGCCACTGTAGGACTTGTTTGTCAAGGCACATATTAGTGTTCTGGGCAATGGCATAGGGCATGAGGTATGTTTCCAGCCATCCGTGGTTGCTTCCACCATAGCTCTTGCCATGGTGAGTTTGTGGGAGTGTGATATAGTCAAACTGCCAGGCCTCCCCATGTTCATATTTTAACCATCGTCCTCCATACCAGAAAGGTTTAACTGCTTGGCTTGCTTAATCACAGCGCATGTTTCACATTCCTGGATAACCTGTGCAATAGTGTCCATGGCAAAATCCACCCTTCGATCACGAGCCCATCTGTATGTTGCGTCCCTTCCTTGATGGCCTGACGTGTCATTGGCGCAGCAAGCTGTAAATCTTTCACACTTATGTTGCCAGTCCAGATCCACCTGAGCCACTTTAATCTTAGCAGCCTGATCCACCTGCTGATTGTTTTGATGTTCTTCAGCAGCCTGACTCTCGGGTACCTGAGCATCTACTTGACATACTTTTCAACTAACTTTTCTACCCTGGCAGCAATATCTTGCCACAACAGGCAGCCCAGATGGGTTTGTCGCTGTGCTGCCAGTAGCTCTACTTCCATTGCTGTAACCATGTTCACAGGGCATTTGCCACCATCCATGAGTCGGTATAGAGACAGAGCACTGGCCGCTTTCCTCGTTCAGCAATGTTTAAAGGCAGCAGGACAGCTTTCACCTCTGCAAACTGACTTGGTTCACCTTCTCCTTCAGTAGCTTCTGCGATTCATCATATAGGACTTCACAGAGCAGCTTCCACCTTCAATGTTTTCCTACAATGCAGCAGGACCCATCAGTGAAGCGGGCGTATTGCTTCTCATTATCTGATAGTTTATCATGTGATGGAACCTCTTCACTGCGCGTCACCTCTTCCTCCTCTGGTGACATTCCAAAAATCTTTGCCTTCTGGCCAGTTTGTGATGACTTCCAAAATTCCTGGGTGACTGGGGCTTCCTATTCGAGCCTTCCGTGTGGTCAGTGGGACTCACGTACTCCACGTGGCATCAGCTGTGTGATGTGTAGAGGAGACCCTTCCTTTGAATATCCAGCCCAGCACTGGCAGTCGGGGTGCCAGGAGCAGCTGCATTTCTGTGCCAGCTGCTTCCGAAGCAGCTTGGACTCCTTTGTGCACTGCAAGTATCTCCTTTTCAGTTGGAGTATAGTGGGCCTCGGATCCCCTATATCCCTGACTCCAAAACCTGAGGGGTCGAGTCTCCCTGGTGCTTTCTGCCCGAGGCTCCAGGTAGGGCCGTTCTCCCCGGCTGTGGTGTAGAGCATGTTTTTAACATCTTGTCTTGCCCAAACTGGCCCAAGGGCTACTGCATAAACTATTTCCTGGTTTAATTTGTTCAAAGGCTCACTGTTGCGCAGGGCCCCATTTAAAATCCTTCTTCTTCCGGGTCACTTGGTAAAGAGGGCTCACAATTAAGCTGTAACTTGGAATGTGCATCCTCCAAAAGCCCACAACACCTAGAAAGGCTTGTGTTTCCTTTCTGCTGGTCAATGGAGACATAGCTGCTGTTTTGTTGATCACGTCCATTGGGATATGACACCACACATCTTACCATTTTATTCCTAAAAACTGAATCTTCTGTGCAGGTCCCTTGACCTTACTTAATTTTATGGCAAAACCAGCCTTTGGAAGGATTTAAACTATTTTCTTCCCTTTATCAAAAACTTCTTCTGTGGTATAGGGGCGACTGATACCAGCACAGGTTGGCTCTCTAATTCAGCTGCAGTGCCTGTCACGGGGGCTGGAGTAGACGCAGTGCGTGTTCTTTTGTCGTGAGATCCAGAGACCTTCTCTTCCCTTTGAGGGTGCTGAATAGTGTTAAACAAGGCAGCTCAGTAGGCATGGGCCAGGCCTCAGCACACTGCAGTGATCAGTGTCTCCCTGGAATTGCCAGTGTGACAGCATACTTCTTCCAAATATTCTACTAGTTTTTCAGGGTTATGCAATTGTTCAGGAGCTTTGAAGTTCCAAAACACTTGAGGTGCCCACCATCCTAGGCATTTGTCCATGCTCTCCCACACACCCTGCCACTCATAACTATCCAGCCTCAGGGAAGATCCCTGTGTCATATTTTTAAATAGTTGTTTAACCCCAAACAAGACCTGAAACACATTCAGGAGACATAGCAATAAGAGCGTGCTAGCTAGAATATCCCCAGGATGTTCAGAATTCTCAAAAGCTGTTGCGATTAAGCTGAAGGAAAAAGGACAGGTGAAAGAGCCAGGGGAAAGTATTCCTCCCTACCCCGAGATGCGGGCATGATGCTAATGTCACATGCAAATAGCAGCTTAACCTTGTGCCAGAGGTGGTATCATAAGTCGATATTACACAGAACAGCAAAATGAGAGTGTCCTGATCCCTCTCCCAGAGGTGATAAACAGCACCACAGGGAATATACAGGGCATATAAGGATTTACATAACACAGCCATGTGAACAACCAAAACAACATTATGATCAGCGACTATTTAACAGTAAATGTGTTTAACAAATTTGTTTTAACATGCTCTAGTCAGATCTGTTGTCATCCCAACCCTTCGTGCCCCATGTTGGGTGCCGAAAAGGACTGTTGTGGTTTAGCCCCAGCCGGCAGCTCAGCTACCACGTGGCTGCTCGCTCGCTCCTTCCCCCTCAGTGGGATGGGGAGAATTGGAAGAAAAAGGTAAAACTCGTGGGCTGGGGTAAGGACAGTTTAATAGGACAGCACAAAGAGAGAAGGAATAATAATAATAATTGAACAATACAAAACGACTGATGGACAATGCAATTGCTCAGCAGCCTGCTTTGGAGCTGCGATCTGCTCGCCTGGCCAGCTCCACTAGTGCTGAGCATGATGTCATATGGTATCGAATATCCCCTTGGCTACTTTGGGTCAGCTGTCCTGGCTGTATCCCTTCACAGCTTCTTGTGAAAGTTAACTCTATCTCAGCTGAACTCAGGGCAGCAGATGTCTGCAGGCCCCGTGATGTGCTCGTCTTCCCCCCTTTTAGGTATCCTGGATATTTTTGGGTTTGAAAACTTCGCAGTGAATCGTTTTGAACAGCTTTGCATAAACTTGGCGAATGAGCAGCTGCAGCACTTCTTCAACCACGTAAGTCTGCTGTGGGTGATCTCACCTTGTGTGGCACAGAAAGCAGAGCACTGATCTACCTGGCATATGAAAGAGATT